AGAAATACATTTTCCATTTTATTCTTTGACATCTGTTATGTATGCAAGCAATTACAGGCAGTGAATTTTCTGACATATGAGCTGGAATTCACTTTCTCTCAATATCTTGTATTTTTAAAAGTGTTCTGTAGTGCAGCAATGCAGGCAGTTGTTCAGGTACAAGTATTAACTTGCCAATATGAAAGTTAACATATTTCAGACCTGTCTCACAGAGTTTCTAGGTTCCTTGCTAAATCGAACTGGCTAACTGATACCAAATACTGTAAAAGCTGAGATGGCAAGGGCTGATGGCAGTTGCTGTCCAACAATATTTGGAGCTAAGAATAGTTCACATCATACCCAATAAAATACCTTGAGTATCAGTGACTTTAAAGACACTGAAGGTAAACAACAAAACAGCTAGGCAGTGGAGGGTAAGTCTCATGAAATTGATCCAATTAAGCAAAGGCACAGTGAATGGAAATGCAGTGCAATATTAATACTGCATGTTTCAAATGGTAGACTTATATAGGAAGTCTGGATGCAGACTTGGAAAAATAAAACAATGTGCAACAACAAGAAATAAATAAACAAACAAATAAATAAACACAGTTTTCCAAATACATAGCCTTTGAAACAGGAAGATACACAAATTTGAATTTGCTTTATTCAGAAAATGCAGAACATGCTGTACTAATTTGCAGGGAGTTAAAGAGATAGTTTGTATACAGGTGAGTGAACACCTACAGAAATGTTCAGTGGGCATGGATATTCCTGCTTCAGTTTAAGTTGTTTAATATAATATATTGTAACAGGCAGGAAATCTCTTCAATGGAATAGAGGTGCACAATCTGCTAATACGTATACAGGGCGAAAACCTTTTTATTTAAAATGCAATGGATATTAAAGTTTTGAGGTTCTAAAACTGTGAGAGAAGTTTGAGGAAACTGATAGAGAGGAGCAATCTTTTGATTAAAGTGCTGATGTCAGAAATCAGAACATAAAATCTACTGCTTCCTATTGTGCTGTTTGAAAGCCACTAATATATTGATGTTGAACTGGGGGTGATTAAATCCACGTATCCAAAGACTAAGTCCTAGAAAAGGCCAGACGTTTCAATGAGGCATTGTAATTCATGGGGTATAGGATTATGAACCATGGCCATCAGTCACGGGGAACACTGGATTTTTCAACGTTATCTCTATCTTACACATATGCATAGGCTGAGGCATTTGAAGCAAAAGTTAATGACAGGATTTTGCACAAACATGAGGGAAGACAGGATATATTTTAGAAAATGAAAAGAAATGGGAAATGCACCTCATAATGTAAGATGGTTGATAGGTATGTGTCACATTCTGGATGATTTGATGCTCCTTGTCTATTTGTTATTACTCTCCCATCCCCATCCAATGACAAATTGCTCTGCAGTATAATGCCATCACTATAGTCTCAGATTTCTCACAAAATTACATAGCTTTTCTCAACTACTACTGCTGCTGCCTCAAGTTGTGATAGCCACGATGTGATTAACAAAAGTGTAAAGTAAATGAATAAATAAACAAATAAACAGATTAGCTTTATATCAGACAATATTCTGGGGTCCCACATTTTGATTTACCTCTCTCCCTCTCTCCCTCTTCCAATATGCACAAGATGCATAGACTGTTTCCATCCTTCTTCCACAATTGAACTTAGTGTCCTGTGCACTGTCTTTTGACTCCCATGCTAGTCACACTGTTAAAATCCTAAACCTCTCTGCAGCTGGGGACATGGATCAGTAATTCACTGCTGCCATGTATGGGAAACAAGAATTGCTGGGAAATGTAGAGAAGCTTAGAGGAATTACCAAGACAGATTTCTTCTTGTGGAGTCTATTTCCCAGCTAACCATGCCACAATAGAAATCCCAGTTGAGATCAGCTTGCATTGTGCTCTGTGCTTTACTTAGCCTGGTGGCTGAATGAGTCTTTGTGGTGGTTGATCTCTAATTAGTCAAGATAATACATTTCTTACATCACCGATATTAAAAGTGTGAATCAGAAAGGCTTTATTGCAAGTTCCCCCACCAAGCACGATGTGGTGACATACAATTAACTATTTTCGTAGAAACATGGAGCTCAAGAGTTTACTGCTTAGGGAATCCAGCTAGTTACTTCCCATTATGGATTTATCCAGCATGTGAAGAGTACTATTTGGGGAAAACAGAGGCAAAATAGAGTACTGCAACTGAGTAAGCCAAACCTCAGAGTCTTCAACACTCTAGATGTCCTGACGCATGAACATGTTGACATTTAGACTCCGCTGGTGGAACCTGCTGAAAAAACTAACAGAAACACTCAGTATTGTTGAAAGTCATACTTGTATTCTTGTGATCCAGTTGTTCTCAAATTGTTGTTTGTTGTGGTGTACCTTCAAGTCGTTTCCAACTTATGGTGCCCCTAAAGTGAATGTATCATGAGGTTTTCTTGGCAAGATTTATTCAGAGGTGGTTTGCCATTGCCTTCCCCTGAGGCTGAGAGAGTGTGACTTGACCAAGGTCACTCCATGGGTTTCATGACCAAGCAGGGAATCAAACCCTGGTCTCCAGAGTCATTGTCCAACACTTAAACCGCTACGCTACATTGGCGCTCTCTGTTCACAGAGAGAGCTGTATGATTTACCAACAAATCAGTTAAAGCTAGTGGTTTGTTTTCCCCAAAGTTCTCAAAGTGGTTTGAGAATAGGTCTCTCTAGTCTTGTACATTGACTCCAACATTTATCGTGAAATGCCCCAGGAAAATTTGCAGGCAGATCTTGATGGTGAGACCCATATTTCATCCTCATTTGAGTATCTAATGAATAGCAGTATACTGGGTATCTCAGTTTTAACTACAATGAGTAATAACCATTAATGCAATTGTGTTCTGCAGAGGGTATGGAATATATGTGGAATTAAATATCTCAGCTCCCTACTTTCCAGCTTCCTCCACTCACATTTTTATTCCTGTGGATGTGACTCTTGGACAATGATGCCTCTGAGTAGGTAAGTAGGTATGTCCACCATGTGCATCTTTGGTCTTGAATTGCATTTGGTGTTGTGGAGGGTGCTGTTTTATTGTTAGTATTCAACTCGCTGTCCAAAAAAAATCCTGAAAATGGAATAAGGGAAAAGTCACCATTCTAACCTTAGTCTCAGGCAGCAAAATGGCCTGGGTTGGCTCTGCTTCAAATGCAGAATTTCTGGCTTTGGCTCTTTCTTTTCTTTTTTAAAAACTGGAGCTAGCAAAAGGAGCATCTTCAGTCTCCTTCTCCAGGGACAAGGACTTTGCCCTTTCTCCTTCATGCTGACAGGGCCAAACAGACTGAGTGAACTGTACAACCTAAAAGGCGAACGTGTGTGGGAGCATTGAGAAAATAAAAGGAAGAAAAATAAACATGGGTAGCTTATGATGAAACAGTGGGTTTTAACTTGAATGGGATTATTTGAAACTTGAGATAGAGAGAAAGAAAAAGAAAGATCAACAGAAGCAGAAAAACAGAGTTCCAAGTTTAAGGCAGCCAACAAAATTCTGAATAAGTCTTGGATACAAGAATAGCAATGACCAGGAAAGATGGTTTCAAACCATACTCCTCCATTGGCACATGTCACTTTTTTAGTTTCAGCCAATTTATTAGTATTTTATTTACATTAATTGGCTTGATTTAAGACTTGCATTAAATATCAGTAACAGAATTCAGTTGAAGCAAAGGATGAAAGATCTGCTATTGCCAACAACTAGCTTCTTCAAAAAGCATATTTCAATGTATATAAAAAAAAGTATATTTCAATGCAAAGTTCTGGTCAGCAATGAGTATAGGCTTTTCAACATTTCTGACTACAGGTTGAGTCTCCCTTATCCAAAATGATTGGGACCAGAAGTGTTTCGGATGCTGGATGATGATTATTATTATTATTATTATTATTATTTGGATCCTGGAATATTTACATACACATAATGGGATATCTTGGCGATGGGACCCAAGTTGACACATAAAAATTTGTTTATATTTCATATACATCTTATACACATAGCCTGAAGGAAAATTTATTCATAATATTCTTAATAATTTTGTGCATGAAACCATGTTTGTGTACATTAAATCATCAGAAAGCAAAGGTTCTCTCTCTCTCTCTCACCCATGTGGACAATTCGGGATTCTGTATTTCAGATTTTGAAATTCCAGATAAGGGATACTCAACCTGTAATGGATTTTTCTTACCAAGATTTGTTCAGAGCAAGTTCGCTTTTGCCTTCCACTGAAGCTGAGAGAATGTGACTCACCCAAGGTCACCCAGTGGGTTTCCATGGCTAAGCAGGCATTTGAACTCTGGTCTCTAGGGCTATAGTCCAGTGCTAAAACCACTATACAAGTTTTATTATTATTAATTTAATATATGTTTAAGGGGGGTATTTGTTGTTGACTGTATGGGTGTATTTTTAACTGTAAGCCGCCTTGACTAAAGGCGGGTTATAAATAAAGTTTTATTTATTATTATTTATTATATCACATTTGCTGTCTCTAAAGTCCCAATAGTACCTTTAATAAAAAAAAGCAGTATGTTTTTCCCCTCAAGTGTGAAGTGAGATAATATAACTTGGGAACACTGGACATGTTCCTTTCCAGGAAGAGGTAGCTTGTAGGTCATGGTTTAAATGTTGTGTTGTTCAAATTTTCTATTTACAGATTTCTGTTCTTAAAGGTATTATTTTTTCTTCTAATAGTTGAGTGTTCCTTATCTGAAAATGCAAAATGCTCCAGAATCCCAACCTTTTTTCATGGGTGGCTGTGATAGTGACACCTTTGCTTTTTGTTGGTTCAGTATGCACACACTTTGTTTCATGCACAAAATTATTAAAAATATTGTAAAAAATTAACTTCAGGCTATATGCTTAAGGTGTATTGTTGTTGTCGTTGCTGAGTTTCTTCAGAGGGAATTTCCTATTGCCATCTTATGAGGCTGAGAGTGTGTTATTTGCCCAAGGTCACCCAGTGGATTTTTATGCTTGAGTTGGGAATCGAACCCTGATCTTCAGAGTCATAATCCAACATTCAAACCACTACACCATGTATATGAAACATGATGAATTTTGTCCTTAGACTTTGATCTCATCTCCAAGATATTTCATTATGTATACACAAATATTCTAAAATCTGAAAAAAAGTCCAAAACATTCCAAATATTTAAAATAAGGGAGACTCAAGCTGTATTTTGTTTTGTTCAAAATTTATTTTTAGTATGTATGGTAACTTAAATTCATGTCAATAGGACCCAGCATGGTGTAGTGGTTTTGAATGTTGGACTATGATCCTGGAGATCAGGGTTCAAATCTCCTCTGTCATGGAAACTCATTGGGTGATCTTGGACAAGTCACACCCTCTCACTTTAAGAGGAAGGTAACAGCAAACCTTCCTCTGACTAATCTTGTCAAGAAAAGCCTTGATTGGATTGTCTTAAGTTGGAGGATGGCAATGGCAAACACTCTCTGAAGAAACCTGCCAAGAAAACCCTGCGATACATTCGCCTTAGGGCCACCATGAGTTGGAAAGGCCTTGAAGGCCTTGGGTAAGTCACGCACTCTCAGCCTCAGAGGATGGCAATGGCATATCCCCTCTGAAGGAACATGCCCTTAAAACCCTGTTGCCATAAGTGGAAAGGCCTTGAAGGCCTCAGGCAAGTCACACACTCTCAGCCTCAGAGGATGGCAATGGCAAATTCCCTCTGAAGAAACTTGCCATTAAAAACCTGTTGCCGTAAGTGGAAAGGACTTGAATAATAATAATAATAATAATAATAATAATAATAATAAT